TTTATTTTATTTTACTAGATGGGTTTACGCCGTGCACGCACGGCGGTCTAAAACCCGGTGTATAACTACTGTAAAAATTTGTCATAATTTGTTGCAGCTTTTATTCTAGCGTATGTTGCATTTGTTCACATATAATTTTTTTCTATCGAAATGTTTTAAGATTTTGTTCTGTTGCATTTCTCCAGTGGTTTATCAGTGGTTTATCAGTTGTGAGATTGTTTAAATCCGTGTATATGCTTCGATTCTCTCTCTCTATGAACTGTCAATATAAAAAGTACAATTATTACGAAACAAATATGCACAAATTAATCAAACAAAGAACAAAATGTTGTAACACAAAGGTCTCGTAGATTGCGTTGGAAAAGTTTCTATAATCCGACTTGTACCCTCAACTCGAGAATCGTGCTCCACCTAAAAATCTCACCGTCCAGCTTGCCGGTGACTCGTCATGCTGTAACCCTAGAATCCGGTGAGGCATTGAATTGGCCCCAGCACTCTATCCCGTGATTATCCTCCCTAATCCGCAAAAATGGCGTAACCTAGCGGATAAGGACACGAATATGATCCCGATCGAGGAGCTATCGCACGACTCACTGTCTCTCCACCATTTGATCTCACTGGTTGTTTGAGAAATGCCGCAAATCTAGTCCGAGCAGGAAGCTAAGGCCAAGAGGGTCTCTTCCAGTAACAAGTCAAAGTTTTTATAACATGTTAAGACAATTTTTTTTTTATTCAATGATGTAGGTTCACCTAGTAGAGGCTGCAAACACCGAACCTTCATTTGTTAATATGTACAGACAGAAAAAAGAAAAGAAAAGAGTACCTGAAAAACTTTTCACACTACCCGGCAATATATGGCGCCTTTGGACCGCAGTCCGAACATTTTTCTACAAATGATGCAAATCTGACAGATGGAAAAAATTGAAACTTAAGAATCATGAAAGAAAGTATAACAAGCTAAAAGGCTACCAATTTTTTATTATCTCACAACATAAAGCAATTTTTAGCTCTCTGTCATCTAAAAAAATTGAAAACTATTAATCCATAAAAGAACTGTACGATTTCACCCTATCGCTTTCACCCTATTTTTTTTCCCAACTCGAACTCAATAGCATCTGAAATGGCAATGTATCCAATATAACCTTGTAACTATGTCTTACTCATCTCTGCAATAAGACAAAGCAAGCAAGATTTCATACTTAAATACACTCAGGCCAACCCACACTACAATGCGTCGAGGACTATATTTCAAAGAAATATCCAGCAAATATGGGACGCTAGGTGGTAAGAATTACGAAAAGAAAGGCTTAGAGCCAGCCTGAACTTCATGTTTAGCCCTTGGACCAACAACCCAAAACTAAATCAATAGTCTTGGACTGGGCAGCCTAAAAAACCGTCCACTCGAGTGAAAAAAAGGAAGTCACTGAGTCAAAAAATAATAAAATATGCCCTTAGAATTCATGAATTTATTTGGCTTTGGTTTTTGTTGAAGGAAAGAAGAAAGTCCACCATTATTTTCGTGAAACTTGTATCATGATAACAAGGGTCACAATAGAATTGCTTATAACCTCTTTTAATCCAACAGAACCACAAGTAGGAATTAGTTATCTCTTCCCCAGTGGAGAATAAAAAGTTTTTTATTTGATTGTTCGTTAGCCCATCCAATAAGCAACCGGGTCAAATCTCGACAAAATGATTGCCAGTTCAATTCTGAGAGTGTAAAGGCATTAGGCAATCAAGACAAGGTTAAGGAATAGACCTTGTAATGAATCCATGGAAACACATTGCATATCCAAGATTTATACGTGCTACCGATCCAATGTATAGATTTAAAATCAGTTACAAGAGTATTTACCTGCTTCAGCTTCTCAACTGTTGTGAAGTGCCACCCAAATGATGTATAGTGCATGCCATGTATAAAGGTAGCAAGAAAGACCTGCAGTTTTTTTCTAAAATATAGTAAGCAATTGATAGTTAGGCCAAGGTCCTAATCTGTGATACATAATATACAAGGTAAATTATATATACAGTTTACAAGTCTATAAATCTTATATAAACATAGCAGAGAACCATTACATAATAAGTTAAGAAGACACGGTTTCGACCAGATTCTTAGCATGTAGCGAAGTCGCCTAGCGATCTGTTATTGTATATATGGTATAGATTAAGCATCTCAGTCAGTAAATTATTATGATTGTTAGATTAGGCCATTGATATTTCATGCTCATTCTTATATTGCTAAATATATGTTGTACTCAGAGCCGGCCCTGGCCCAGGGCGACCTGGGCGACCGCCCAGGGCCCAGGACAAGGCCTAATTTGAAGGGGGCACCATTTGAAAGAGCCTTTGTTGCCATTCAAAGGAGCCTATGTTGCAAATAATGAGTTGGAAATTTTGGAGGAGGTGTATTTTATGTGAGTGTGTTATAGATAAGAAATCGATTCAAAAAATGAGAAATAAATAGAGATATGTGGTCTGTACTTTTGAGAAGGAAGAAGGAAGAAGGAAGAGAGAAAGAAAGAAGAAGGAAAGAAGAAAGAGAAAGAAAAACACAAAGTTTGACCAAAAAAAGAGAGAGAGAAAGGGAGAGAGAAAAAAGGAAAAAGAAAAAGGAAAAGTAAAAAAGAAAAAAAAAAATACATTTCTAAAACTGATGTTTGTTTCAATCAACATAGGTAGGAAAAAAAAAGAGTAAATATGAAATAATTAAAATACTATTACAATATATCTATTTTCAACAAATATCAATTGCAAAAATAATTTAAAATGCACAAGACTTTCTTAAATTCTATATCAAAACCTACCAACCCATTTATTCCTATTAG